AGGAAAGCTGGAGAGGGACTTTGGACAAGAGCGTGTAGTGATAGGACAAGGAGCAATGGCTTTAAATTGAAAGACGGGAGATTTCAATGGGATCTAAGGAAGAAATTCTTCCCTCTCAGGGTGGTGAGGCAGTGGAACAGGTTTCCCAGAGAAGCCGTGGCTGCCCCATCCCTGGAAGTGTTCAAGGCCAGGCTAGACGAGGCTTTGAGCGACCTGGTGTAGTGGAAGGTGTCTCTGTCCATGGCAGGGGCGCTGGAATTAGATGATCTTTAAGGTCCCTTCCAACCCAAACCATTCTGTGAACACAGACAATGGCATCTTTGAGGCACAAAGGAAAGGGGGGAAAACAACTGTCTGCTCAGCGACTGGAAAAAGGCACAGATTTCCCCCTAGAGAAGGGAAGTTGCTGTTCGTTGCTTTGTTTTGCAAGTATGTTAGACTGATTATGCTGAGGGATTCCAAGAGAACATGGCCGAGAGACCAGCTTGCTTTCTATCACAGCTGCAAATTACTTAGGAGTTCCAGAGCTGCAGAACTATACAGCTGGAAATCTGATCCAGCTTCGGCACTCAACAATTCTTGCATCACACATGAGCATCACGAATCTCTACAGCCAGTATTTGGATGCTTAAGTCTTAAAATAAAATCAAGCTTATTAGATATGACTTGTCTCCAAACACCGTTAAATTTAATCCAAATACATCTGAAACTATTTGGAAATACAACAGGACTCCTGTACTCACTGATCACTACGGAAGTCAAGCATTCGTAGGTGATGTAGAGTGGAAGTGATATCTTGAGGGCAGATTCCAGTCAGTTTACTCAATTTCTTGATGCTTAACTGTTTGTCACGTTGATGATAAAGGCACTCCAATATTACACTTTTCCAATAAGCCATATATGAGAGGCGCCCCAGGTCTGACAGGGGCTTCTCTGGTGATCCTGCTTGACCCTCACGCTTTGAAAGCAAATAGCCTAAAGACACACAAGAAAATTTTAGAAATTAGCACATACAGCTTCTGTTTCCACCCCAACTTCTACAAAGGCATTTTTCCAGAAAGTAGCTGAATGCTGCTTACAAGGTCTAGATTATAATTTTGAAGGATATACCGACTGGTCTGGCTGATTTTTTTTGTCGTTGTCTAAACTCCTATTATTCAATGACAATAGTATGAGATTTCTAAATCACATCGCCACCAGACATCGTCTACGGGCAACGCCACGAGATGGCAGCAGTTGCCAACTAGAAACTGTGCTAAGCCTGAGGCACACAGTCTGCTGAGTACCTTCAACTGCAATAGCAATTTTGAAGATGACAGAGAGAAAACATATTTTAGCCATTTAAAACAATTATGGCTAACAATTTTCTTAAACTCTACTGCCAAACTTCAGAGCCATACTGGAGAATACCAAGCTCTATCTGCAGAGACTTAATTAATTTAAGACTGTGATATACTGTACACATTCAATAACAAGAGAGGTTATATCCTCCCCAATATGACAAAGAGGGGAAGGGAGAAACAGTTGATAAATGTGTCTTGTCACTGCTGCTCTACTATAGCCCACATTTGTTGATTTCTTAAGATACATTATTGAGTTCCTTTGTTTAATCAATGTTTTCAGAAGAACAACAACTTAATCTACACAAGGATATTTACCAGCAACATCATTCTAATATAATTATACCAGTAGGGTTTTTCCTCTGGACAGTAACTCTAAAATTAGCATTTCCCCAGTGAGGACTATATTAGAGAGAGAGATAGTTACAGTGGCAAGTTTCAAGAACTTGCTGAGATCCATGTATGAATCTGAGAATTACGTTGTTTGACTACTCAAACAATTAAGTATGCCTGGTTTTGTTGCTCTCAAAGCTAAATTAAAACAAAACTATGACTACCTTTTGCTTAAGACACTCATTCACCTAATCAAGCTGCTGAAGGTTTCAACAGATCGGGCAGTTTTAGGGTTGTCTTTCTGTAGAAAGAACTACATGTACAAGGTAAGCTTCTGCTAAAAACACTATACAGACACAAACCTATAGTTTCCACCATAAGTTGCTTACACAGGAAACATGAGAATTAGGGGGGAAATGATCAATTTATCTTTAGAATTGAAGCCTTCCAACAATAAGAGAAATTGTGAAGTTCAGATGATTTTGTGAGCATTAGAATCCTTTGTCCCAAGACGCTTTAATTTGAAAAATATCCTCTTCCACAGGTAAGCCTTTCTTTAAAATATGAAAAGACAAAGACTTAAAAAAGTGAAGAAAAAGTTCCTTACTGAAGTCAATTAGGAACCTGCCATAGCCCTTACGCTGGTATTGTGGAAGAATCATTATACAGGAAACATTGTACTTCTGCTGGCAGTGTTTTTCCTGTTGGAAAAAAAGCGGCAAATTAAAAAAAAAAAACAAAAAAACGAGTGAGAAATAGTAGAAGTTGTCCTGTACAAGTCCCTAACTACTTCCAATAGCAAAAACTGAGGGAGAAAGTTACAGTCAAAGTTTCTTTAGAACAACAATGTACATGAGCCAAAGAAAGACTTTAAAAGAGAGAATAATATTAAAACTCTATTACCATTATTTCAGTTCAGAAAAACCAAAAGAATGAAACCTTGACATAACTACCACCTTCTGTTTAGATACAATACAGCAAAGAGCCTGGGCTGCATAGCAGATAAAGTTCAAAGCATGAATCTGAAGGCAGCTAAGTTCACTGAAAAAGACTGCAGTATTCCTGTCAATCTTTAAATGTTATAACCATAATTTACTAAAATCCCAAATCTGCCGTTCTGCAGGCTGAAAGTAAAAGATTAAATTAAAATGATTTAAAAATAAGTAAAACAATTACTGAGAAAAATCTTAAGAAAAGGCCCATCTGAAATCTTGGCCTTGTTCCATCAAAAAAAAAAGGTTTGAAATGAGGCACAAAATTGCCAAACTTGCTGGAAAAACAATGTATTAACAGAAGGAAAGATGAGATAGAACTACTCGGTAACAATGCTTATCTCACAAACAGTACTACCTAACACCACCAAGAGGAGGAAGCAATTTGAGGAGTTCAGGGTTTTTTTAACTACTAGCTGCAGCACAAGTTCCCTAGAGAATATATGCTCTTCAACAGTGTGAGGAAACTTGGTTTTATTAGTTGGTGTAGTTAGTGGTCTCCAAATGTAACATAAACAAAATCTGGTTGCAACAGATGCCTACGCCTATATTACATAATATATTTCATAAAATGCAAAAGCCTGCATTACAACAATTTAAAGACTTTGAAGCAGCATTTCTCACCATAGCAAATGCAGTTCCAAGCCTGAAGTACTCAAATACTTGCCTTGGAAAAGTAGCCAACAAGGTGACAGCCCTTGACATCATTCTGTGTCAGCACGTAGAAAAGAAACGGCTCCACATCATAATAGAGTGTCTTATGGTCCAGGAAGAGTTTGGCTAACAAGCACAAATTCTGGCAGTAGATAGTGCTGACGTTGCCATCAACCTTACAGAAATGAGGAAAAGTTTTGTCACTCCATTTGCTGTCATGCAAGGACATGCTTCATCTGGGTATCCCTGTACATTTGAATCATCTAACATAAGAGGAAGACTTCTCTGCCACAGGTAGCGTCTCAAAAGACTTAAACTTCCACAGCATAAAGCCCATGGCCAAATCACTGTTACATTCATTAGCTTAAGAGAGAACTTAAAATTAATTTTCCTAAAATGAAAAGGTATTTTTATAAAGCGAGCCATCTCATATGTTTTATGGATGAATAAGCTATACATCAGGTCAACTCCCATTGCTTGCTTGTAGTTCTTCATCCTTAGCAATAGAATGCTTGAAGAAAGACGATCTTTAGGGCTATGGAAAACTTATCACACTATTGGGAGCTAAAGACACCGTTTCATAGATAAAAGTGAGTGGGTTAGTTTTCTAACTTACCTCAAAGACCGAAATATTGTTTTTTCTGTAAATTTCATTGGCTGGAGGATGAAACCAGCCCCATTTTTTCATATGCTGTTGGAGAATAGTTCTGCTTTTCATATATTTTAGACAGAATTCGCAAAGGTACAACTTGGGTAGCCTGTAAGCAAATATAATGAAAGATCAAAGACTGAAAGTACAGACTTTTGTATAAAATTCCTCACTCCTGCAGATAGAGAACTTGATGAAAACAAACATGGTATCTACTGACCTTATGTATGTGCTAACCAGGCCAAAACCACCTTACCATACTTAAATCATGGCACTTACTTATTCTGTAACGAATGCATATTAAAACCAAATGTATTTAATGTCCTGCATAATTACTTTTACATTATTAAGTTATGTCAGAAGAAATATATGCATTGATTAAAATCCTAGAAAAAAATAGCAAAAAAAAACCCCAGTTCTGTGCTAGTGATGCTAGGATGGATTAGATAAATAGCTCCTATTATCTCCCTTTACTCCTCATAACAGACAACTGTATGTACCCCTGAGCAATGCATTGCAACACTATCTATCCGTTCGCTTTAAAACCATTTTACATACTACACTGCCATGAATAATTTGAATGCAAGTGTCCCAATAGTGTTGTGATTTAGCTCCACTTACATACTCTAGCTTGGGCAGAGATGCTATTTTCAGTTACCTTAAATGCCTTTAGCAGAGCTAGAATAATTCCTCATGACAGACCACATGCTCTTATTTGACGGCAGAGTTTTATTTCATTTGCTCTCTCTAGCTATAGCCTTTAGAAGTTACTCCTCTTTCTGAACCAAGTTAGAGTTCAGAGAGTTTGCATTTTAGACAGTTTGCAAAGTTCTTAAGCAACAAACATCAGAACAACTATACACGCATAACAGCAGAACAATCTTTCAGATGCCAGAATGTGTAACATTAAACACTTCTTCTTTGGCTCTGTTGAACTACATACAGCATAAAAATAATACATCAGAGTAATTGCTGTGAAATTTCTATTTATTTTTCTCTTTCAACTCCCATAGCTAGTATACAGCCATTTCTAATCAAATCTTTTAATACACAGGTAACATACCATTCCCTAAACAAATTTATTATTTTTCATCATGAGGAGTGCTGCAGTTGATCTGCTGGATGGAAGGGATGGCATCCCATAGAGAGTTTGACAGGCTGGAGGAGTGGGCCCATGAGAACCCCATGAAGTTCAATAAGGCAACGTGTAAGATCCTGCACCTGGATGGAGGTAATCCCCAGCATCAATACAGACTGATGCTGAATGGATTGAGAGCAGCCCTGTGGAGGAGGACTTGGAGATACTAGTAGATGAAAAACTGGACATGAGCCAGCAATGTGTGCTTGCAGGCCAGACAGCCAATTGTATCCTGGGCTGCAGCCAAAGAAACATAGCCAGCAGGTCAAGAGAGGCGATTCTCCCTCTCTACTCCACTCTTGTGAGACCTCACCTGGAGTAATGGGTCTGGCTCTGGGGTCCTCAGAACAAGACATGGATTGTTTTTGTGGCTGTCCTCTAGACTCACTCAAACAGGTCCAAGGGCTGAAACCCCTCTCCTGTGAGGAAAGGCTGAGAGAGTTGGGGTAGCTGGGGTTGCTCAGCCTGGAGATGAGAAGGCTCAGGGAAGACCTTATTGTGGCCTTTCAGTATATAAAAAGAGCTTATAAGAAAGACCAAGAGAGACTTTTTGCTGGGGCCTGTAGTGATGGGACAAGGGGTAACGGTTTTAAACAGAAAGAGGATAGATTTAGATTGGGCAGAAGGAAGACATCTTTTATGATAAATGTGGTCAGACACTAGAACAGGTTGCCCAGAGAAATTGCCGATGCCCTGTCATTGGAAGTGTTTGAGGTCAGGCTGACCAGGGTTATAAGCAACCTGATCTAGCAAAAGATGTCTCTGCCTACGGCAGGTGGGTTGGACTAGATGGTCTTTAAAGTTCTGTTCCAACCCAAACCATTCCATCATACCACATAAAAAGAACCAATGTACTTTGAGAGTCAAATACTCTAATCACTTATATGCTTACTAACAGCCCAGTACCAGATCGTTTAGCTGAGGCTACTCCCTCTTCAGGGCATGGATTGTGTTAGTTCATTGGGAATCCATCTAATCATATATTCCTGTGGCAGTTTGAATGCTCACAGCATATGTAAGTTGTTGCAGAGACATTATAAACTTTTTGACTTAGCCTAAAAAGACCTTAAAATATCTATAAACTACCACAAAAAGTATCTAGATTATGTGTACTTTGCTTCTGTCCTACATTCAGATAGAATCTTCCTAAGATTTCTACATCTGTTGGAGTACAGCTTTCCCATAAACACTGAAGCAAGAACAGAGGAGAATGTTCAGTTGTACCTTGAGTATTCCTGTGGATATGGAGAGGAGTACCAGGTCTGGATTTCATACTTGCCAAATTCAATGACAGAAGGACATCGGACTTGTGGATCAGGAGGGCCAGTCACCCCTACTTTCTATGCAAGGGGAAAAAAAAAAAAGGTTTTGTGAACTTTGTGAAGATTTCTAAGCAGAAATAAATTAAAATATTCTTATCTACACAGTCCATCCTACTCGACTCAGAATTAGGAAGATGCAGACGTTGCTTTCTGACACTAAAAACCAGTAGCAGTCACACTTCAAACACGCATGTGACTCACAAAAGGGAAGAATTAATAAATATTGTCATACCACGTACTTCCACTACCTTTCACGCCGTCGCATGTTGTAGTTTTAAATATAATTAGTACACGGCAAAATTTAATACAGTCTTTTTTCAGTCCCATTGATATTTCCTTTCTTTTTATTTCAATAGCCAAGAACAGAAACACATAAGCTGCTCCTGAGATGAAATATTCTAGAATATTCAAGTACTTAACCTAACACATTAGTGCCCTCCCAGCTCCGAGACAACATGTGAACTCAGGAGTACGGCTACCTGTATCATAAGTGCAGAAGACAAAGAAAAACCTCAAATTCTTTATTAGAAGAAAAAAAAAGAAAATACAGTATTTTAAAATTACTTATACAACCTTTATTTCCTCTGTCTTTCTGATAGTAACTGTGTATTTTATGGGAACTAAAAATAAGGGAACTACATGCTCTGCTTTCAAAGAAAACATATGTTTTGTCAATTCATGAAGATTTTATCTCAAAAGACTTGTCACTCACACAATTAGAAATCCAAATATTCCCACTGCCCTTATATTATCATATGAATCAACTGGACTGCAGAGTCATTAATAAACGAGACCATGTTTCACGCAGGAGGTTAGAAACTACTGTGAAGAGTACCAGTGAATTAACTACATGCAAATTTATGCTAGTAAAATGAAACAGCTATACCCAGGACAATGATTTCAGGTTTGAAAGGCTAATATTCAAAATTAACACTTTCCTAAGTTTCCTATGTGGGACTGGTGTAGGCAGAAATCACCTCAGAATCTAACCCTAGAAACAAACATTTTAAGGAACTCTACATAGATGAAAAAGGACAGTAATCTCCTATGAAGATATTTACTCCAAGAGCTCCAAATAGAGCCATCAGTAACTGATGCATGTTTCCTTCTATTCTTACTCAGAAGACAAACAGACTATTTCAGTAGTCAGCCAAATAAGGTCTTAGAGCTTACTACCTCCGTATGATCCACAAACACCTAATCATTATTATTTTTTCCCCCATCAGTTCACAGATTTAATCCTTAGGCTTCTCCTTTCATCTTAGGCTACTTACCTACTAGGACAGAAACTAGATAAATTGACTCTTTTATCTTACTTCAACTCAAAAGCCAGATGTAATGAGAACAAACTCCTTAGTGTTTAAGAAAAATAATTAAGACAATACTATTAAATAAGCACAATCTGGGGTGCTAAAAGCTTTTGCCATTTGTGAGGATTCCATAAGAAAGAAAAGTAAAACCTCGGCATTTTTGGTAACTGATACAAGGTTGTACACAACACAAGAATTTTACTCCTTGACAGAGCAAATCACCAAAAGAGCAGTTTATGAAGGCAGATCTTTATAGCAATGATAATCTCTAGTTAAGCACCTCCTGCACTCTAGTTTCAGAGGAATCACTATTATCGTCCAGTACAACAGGTCAATAACACACACAATCATCACAGCCATCTGACAAGTCTTAAGGAAAATGGAGTAACATGCACCTGCAACGAGTCCTGCGCTTGTGCCTTCTTTTCAGCAACAAACCCCTCCTCCAGATGAATGCCCAACACAGACGTAGGGACCCAGCTCCCAGACAACTGCTTACACCTCACAGTCATTAGAAGAAAGCCTTCAATAGCAGGCTATTGCTTCAGCCTCTGTGCTAGCTACAAATAGCTCTGAATTACTTTATTCCTGAACTTTCAATACGCAGTATCTTTTCCTTAGCTCACTCAAAAGCCTTTGACGTGTCACTGTATTGCTGTTTTCTTTGGTGAGGCAGTTAGCTCAGTGTACACGCACAGGGTCCCTGTATCAGCTGCATCACAACTCTGGTCAACCCTTTCCTCACCAAAACCAACCAACTAGCCACCTTAAAGTATCTACAAGTGTTTTCCCCCCACAGGAAGGAGTGGGGGGAATCTCTCCAAAACTTGCTTCTTTTTCTAAGCAGGTGTTTGGAGATAAGTATTTTCTCTATTCTGGGTGTATTTCCACAGATTTCATTTCAGATATTCAGTTATTTTTCTAAAATCTATTAATGGTCACCAGCCATAGTCTCATGTGCAATTTGCTCAATGATGCACACACTGAGGTTTGGTTTTCTAAAAATCAATCCTGTTATGAAGTTTGAAACACGCAGTGTTACACAGTAGTGTTGTATTTGCACGTCAGTGAAAGAGTTAACTGCGCTTCATCTTAGTCTGCTTTATCACACACTTAGTGTAGTTCGGTCTTACCACAATTCAACATTCATTAACTCTTTTGGTACAAAGACTATATTTAGTATAGGGGAATTAAACCAGCCTATGACAGAATCATAGGTAAACGAACAGAAGTCAAATACCTGGAGAAGTTTAAAAGGACAGTTATACTTAGTGAAGCACTGTTCAGGGAAGTCACTGCACAAACTTAACTGACCCCTTTGGCTTCAGAAGGAGTTAAGTCCTAAGACCACTCAAGTTACTGAAATGTACAGGTAGAGAGATACACATACATATTACACACATGTATATGCACATATACGTGCCTATAGACACACAGTAATGCCCTGTCCAGTTCCATAAGGACAGGAAGTAGAAAAAAAATGTTCTAATTAGTCAGGGGCCCTATGTGACCCATGCTGCTAGCAGAGTCCCATATTTTATTATTTTAATGGTCCACGTTTTATCAGCTATTTAACAGCTCTATGTTCTGACACAACTAAAGTCACAGCCCTCAAGGCTTTTTAGATGCCCACCTTACCTCTTATGCTCACTTTTATATTATCCTTCAGCTCTCTTGAGATCAGTTCCCCACCACTCTCAAGCAGCAGAAACCAAGCACATTAGCTTCTATGACAGACTGACTCATCTAGATTCTGTATTTCTTGTTTTTTTGTTGTTGGGGTGGGGTAGGTTTTTGGGGTTTGTTTAAATTTCTTTTACAGATTTGGTACTTACTGTCAGACACTGAAAACTGAACTTTACCTGCAGTGCTTGTTCCTGAATATCTCTAAACAACTCCATGTCTTTTTCGGTTAAGACATCCTGGCTCCCAAAAAAACGCTCCTCATTTTCCTGTTTTCCATCCCAGCCATCTTGATTGTCTGTAAATAAGAAAGAAAATTATATTCATCTACATTTACAGAAGAATACTTGCCTTTTAGTGCAGTGACAAACATCATCTGGCTGTATTCAGACACTGTGCCAAGTTTTTTTGATGAGATTTTCTATTCAGATTTGGGACCATGGAGGAAGAACCAGTTCTGGATTTGTGCCCATGTAAGAAGCATTGTCATATACTTAATCAGGTCCAAAACTCACCACTTAGACTTTCATAGTATCATGACGGCATTTATAACAACGAGACAGTTTTGGATAAATGGCTTACTACTATGTCTGTTTCTCACAAAGAAAGATCACAACTATTTAAATGCCATACCTGGTACAACCAAAACCAGGACACTGAAGTTCATCACCCAAGAAACATCCCTTCCACAAAAAAAGCAAACCAAATCCACAAGGCACTTCATCTCATCCTCGAAACATTAATATTATTATTGTTCTTCGAGTTCCAGTTAGGCTAATGCACATAACTATTCTAAAGCTGTAAACCTTGTATGTTATTGTGGAATATTTTCCACCGCTTGCTTAGGAACAATTCAAGCTACAAAACAATTCAACAAGTCTGTAAAGATCTGAACACAGATTAAATCAAAAGTCCAGTCACAGATTAATGTCTTAAGCTAGGAAAAAAAAACAAACAGGGAAAGCAGTACTGCGTTCAAAAGAAGGGATGCTCTCCAGCAAGTAGGTGCCAAACTGTATGAAGCAGACTCCTCTATGGTTGAGAAAATTAAGAAATATTTGCATGCAAGCCTACACAATAGATTGAAAACTCATGGGTCTGTCAGACTGGTTTGAATTATCTGTTTCCCATCTCCTACTTCGACCTTGCTGTTCTTATTTTCATTAACCACTCGCTAGGTTACCTCTTTCAAACGTGACATTATCTATCACATTTCCTAGGGCTATCTGCAAGACCTTCATTATCAAAAAGCATCTTACCTCACAATAATCATTTAATCCCTCATCATACCTTGCCATCATAGAGAAAGAGGCAAATGTCTCTAGAATCGCTTCCTTTTTTCAAGTGGTATTCTACCTTGATGCATCAAAGATAATGGCATTTGAGTGTTAACTTCAAACTCAAAGTTTCTGAACTCTAACAATTCCAGTCACTTCAACATCCTAGCCTTTGAACATTTTCTTGGTGTACAGGATACTTACATTGGCAGGGTGAAAAATCTTTACCTGTGGGCCATTCTGAAGTGCTAGATTTCCTGGTACCCTTTTTCTTGATCCTATACTGCTGAGAATAGTCTACCACTTCCCCTCGAGCTTTTCGTCCATCAGGGGAGGGAGTGAAGAATTTAGTAAGGCCATCTATAAGCCCTTTGGTTTTCTTGTTGAACTTCAAGGTCGTGCTGCCATCTCTGCAGAAGTCCAAGACGTCTGTCTGCTCCAGGTATCCTCCTTCTGATGATGCTGACTGGCTGGACAGAGTGATCTTACGCTTCCGACCCCGACCAGGGCCAGTTCGAACTTTGCTGAAAGGGCCTTTTGATCTAAAGAACGAGAAGGATAAAGACACGGTCAGAAGATTTGGTAAGGTGGTTTATTTTGGGTTGCAAAGTGGAATACCATCTTCCCTACTTATTTATCGATAACACAAACTAAATATGAACTGAAGAATTTAATAATAAAGGAGTAGTCAAGAGCTCGTGTATCGTAGAGGAATCAGGATTCTAAACCTCACAGTAGAAGTACTGTACTATTTTTCTCCACATTGAACATTATATGCAATTAATTTGAGTATAAACAATATATTTTCACCAATAAAATCAGTAGCCAGCATGAATGCATTGCACAGAAGGTTTCAATTTATGCAGACACTAAACATTTACACTTGCCATTTGTCCAAGTTTTCATACCAATAGGAAATTGTCATAGAACTACACAGAAAATTAATGTATGCAGGACACGCACAATAGCTAAGAACATATACCACTGATGGTTATCTTAGCAGAAAACAGTGTTGATCTCCAACCAGCTGCCATCTTTCAGGCTGGAAATTTTAAAACTCTATTGAGATAACAGAGTATTTAATGTTTCTCAGAGGGATTGCCCTAGATCAACTGCTGTTTCAGGAAGCTGACTGTTTTACTTACAATCTTTGCAGCTACACAGGATAGAAATAGGCTGCTTTTCCTAATAAGTCAAACTAAGCATCTATGCATAATTCTGTGGATATATTTTGCAAATGAAATGATGGAACAACGGTAAAAAAATGTGAACAAATCATGAAATAAAAATTAAAAGAGACAAAACGGCAATAGCAGATAGCTAGCTTTCCTTTTGCCTCTTTGACTTATACTGGGAGCTCCTCTAAGCAAAGGTATCCCATAGACTGAAAAAAATTAAGATGTTTAAGAGAGACATTCCCTTTGCATTTTTATAAGCATTAAACTTCATCAGTTTTTTTTCCAGAACATTCTTCGGTGCTATCGGTTAGTTTTTTTTTGTTTTGTTTTGTTTTGTTTTTTAAGCTCATCGGATGTCCAAACACATGTTCTTGTGACATGCTCCTTCATTGTTTTGTCCCCTGCTCAGTCAGTAGTGCTGCTTCACAACAAGCACCGCGCAGCAATCTTAATTCAAGGAAACTGCTCTGGCTTAACGGTTATCCAAAGAATTCCCACCCACCCAAATCCAATTCCCTGACGATTGGCTGCCCCACAACAACCTTGACAAGGCCACACAATCTGTTGCAACACAACAGAGTGCCCCACAAATGCAGAAACATGTGGAATGGAAGCAGAAAGGGGTCAAATATTTCCTGGCAGCAATGTCAGATTAAATATACATCAAACCACCACCTCACATGCTGTATCATAGATTACTTAGTTTCTCTAAACATCAGAAAGGGTTCTTGAAAAACGCAAAGCAAAACAATTTTGCTGGAAGAAGCAGCCATCCGGCAGAAGAGACTTGACTCAAACAGCAAAATTCATCTATGACAATAATGAATAGTTCAAAACTAAATAGTAAGTTATTATGATGAGTCAAGAATCTAGGCAAAAAGAAGCACTGAGATTACTTCTACTGTTTCACAGCACTCTTCAAAAATTCTGTATTCAAGAATAACAAAAAGCTCTTCATTGTAGAAGAAATCTCACAGAGTAGACCAGACACTTCAGAAATAGCCACTGCCCTATAGAATCTCACACCTTACTCCTCCTTATAGAAAGACTTACGTTGTATTTTGATTCTTTAACCTGTTTTTGGGACGTCCTATTGGGTTAGCATAGCGTCGTTTTATCTGTGCTGCTTTCTTGTGTAAGAGTTTTCTTCCTTTCTTCCGTGGCCGACATATTTGACATATCCACATACCTATAAGACACAAGTCCCCATCACTGAATGCAAGGGACATCTATAGAGGTCAAAAAGGAGAATTATAGGCCCCAGGCTTTCCGACAGAAAGGGCAGGAACAGTACCAATGGTCCCAATTAATACATGTAAGAAAAATTTTGTATATTTTCCAGCAATCTAAACTCAAGTCTGCTTAATTTACCCCACTCATCACCCCTAGATATACTTCCCACAACCATGCAGGAAGTCTCTTTAATTCATAGCACATTACAAAAAAACATAAAAAATTTACACATTTAATTATCTCACATCGTGCTTCACACTACTTCCAACTATCTTCTTTGGAAAATTTTTTTCTAACTACCAAGGAAGAATCTTCCATAAATAACCTGCTTTCTGACGGAAAAGAAAAGTTTGGTCGTACTTCAGGATTCTCTACTGTCCAAAGAGATAAGACTTCAAAAACTTAGAAGCCCATCTCTTTCTTTTGTATTCAAATGGAAACTGATGATTTTAATCTGCAAGGATCACTTCTATTCCCCCAAACCTCAAAGATTTTTTTTCAAAACTCTTCATGGACAGTAATGTACAAGAAGCAGGAGACAGTGGAAAATCCAGATGTGAAGCTCTGACCCTTCTCTAGTTTCTAATACCTGAAAAATAATGCTACAAAGAACAAGTTAAATGTAGCTAAAAGAGGAACGAATACATGGCAGCACTTTCTACCTACTGGTCTCTTTCAACATCATCTTAGATTACCTTTTTCATCACAAAGTCCTCACCTTTTGGCATCCTGGTAAGAGGCGGGTCACAGCACTCCATGTGAAAGCCACGGTCACATGAGTCACAAAACAGCATGTTATCCTGTTGCAAGACAGATAAAGTAAATCTCTCTTTACACGTGCACCAGTATCAAGCCCTCCATTAATTTGGCACCATCTCAGAGAACACAGTTTTCAACTACAGACACATCATGGAATTCACAGGTTTCAGAAAGACTATCAGACTCAAACAAAAGCTGCAAATAATTGACTCTAGAATGATTTTATTTTGTAGTTTAACAGAACATCCACAAAACTGATATCCTCTTCATTCAGTCCATAACCCACTGTACTCACAGCATTTTTGCCCTGATCTCGACAGGAACTGCATGTTTTGCACTCAATACACTGCCATCGCAAGGCTTTCACTCGAACTGTCAACTCTGGAGAGAATTTCAAACAGGACGGATGACCTACAGAAAAAGTAGAAAATTACACCAGTAAAACCATTCTTCTGCTGTTAACACTCACAGAGAGATTACTTTATCAATTACGTATTCCCATGCAGAATTTCGGTTATCCAGATACTCCTATTTTTAGGTGCTTCTATTCTTATCTACTTATAACACAAAAACAATACCCTAGATAGCAAGTGGCAGGTCCACATAAAAAAGAACACCAAGATAATTTTTTCATAACTGAATTGAGAAACATGCTGAAACTGGTTATCATTACCACATTTTAAAAAAAACCTCCAGGAGCCAAACAAACTATTTGTGTTAGGTTAACTTAACTGTCTCTCCTCTGGGAGCATGAGATTCAGCTGAACTAACTGTACTATATGCCACAGACACATAATCCTCATATGTGTGGGTCAGGAGTAGTCACTATACTAGACTCCTCTGTCTCAAGTGGCAAGGTTATTTATTATTAGGTGCATACTACTCATATGTACGGGTCAGGAGCAGTCACTATACTAAGCTCTTCTGTCTCAAGGGCGTGGATTATTACGAGTAGCACTGTCAATGGTCACCTACCACTGTTGCCACAGTCAGCACAAGAGATGAGCTCTTCAGGTTTCTTCTCCCGATTTTGCTCTTTTGTACCAAGGCAGAAACTGCAGATAGGAATTGGTTCAGCAACCGGCTGTGAGGAAAACAGACAATAAAAGCACTGAGTGCATCACGGGAGCAAATCATAGAAGCACAGAATGGTTTGGGTTGGAATGGACCTTAAAGATCATCTAGTTCCAATCCCCCTGCCATGGGCAGGAACACCTTCCCCTAGATCAGGAGAGACTACCTATTCATGGAGAAGAGCTGTACCCCAACATCACAAGACAAAGAAATCAGACAAATCATATTTGCAATCTAAGAACTGATGTTTTTACCATCCCTTACAGAATATACGAAGAATGCACTAGTCCTAACATCCGCAAGAGTAGTGAAATGGACTTAATTACGCAGTAACACCATATTAACTGTATTACTGAATTGCAATATAACCACAGATAAGACATTCAAACTTTTGGGACCACTTAAAGAACACATAAACACCGTCTGGTAACTGCGTTTCTTTTTTTTTTTTTTTCGAGAAATGAAGGACAAGAGCTTTACTACTTCTGGAGGAGTCATATGCTACAGCCCCTGACAAAGTGATGTAGTTTGAAAAACTGAATCCCTCGCAAAGCACGAAGTATAAAACAGGATTTCTTCCCTCTGGTCAACATCACAGCAGACACCATGGAATGAGATAAATCACGTGTAAGAAGACAAGACAACAGCAAGATTTTTGACAGCAGTAATAGGTGTATATGAAAGATATAGTAACAATTACCAAGTTATTATTGGGCAGCAAGTAAGAAAAATAAATAGAAAAGAACAACCTACAAGAAGGGGAAGGGAGAAACAAATGGCAAAAGGCTCCTTGCAGGGAGCAGATGATAAAGTTTTGAATTATGCCAAAAAAGGAACATACACTTTGACCCATTATTTCTTGTTACCTATCTCAAACCTTTTTTTTTTTTTTTTTTTTTTTTTTTGGTGCAATCCTCTGTAAGAAACTGCCATGGTTCTTGGAAATCAAAACCTAGGAGTTAAACCACTTATATAATCTGACACACTTTAAAGAAGTCTAGTACATTAATGAAACAGTTTGCCTTTGCAGCGGAAGGGGGAAGAGACTACCGTACCAGATTTATAAAAGCATATTTTATATTTAAAAAAAAAAAATCTCCATTCAATCAATGGATTGCTATCAGAATTAAAACTTCCGGAGTTGCAGTCCTACATTTTTAAAAAATATATATAAACCACCTGCTAACCTCCAAGCCTGTAGTGGGTAACCTAACCCACTACATTCTAAAGAATATGTCAACTTCCTGCTCTTCCAATTTGTCCCCTCACCTTCCATGAGAAAGGCTGGTACAGGAAGAGACATAGCTAAAAAAAAAAATAAAAATCCAGAACTTCAAACAGAGGCCAAGTCCTTGTTTTAAAAAAGAAGTGTTCTACGAATTTACTATTTTGTAATATACAGTCAGCAACATGGCAATCTCAGAGATACTCCTTGACAAAAGTCTGTCAGAGCATGAATTATGTAATTTACTAACCAAAGAATCATATCTTTCTTTGGAGCAAGAGCTTACTCCAGGCAATACTACCCCAAAGTGTACTCACTCGTTCTGGCTGGTAAGGACACCTCCACCTCATCAACAATGATGACAACAATAATCTCCACTCGTCTTTGCTTTGCGTTAATTGGCTATGAAAATGAAGTAACATTTCCCTTTCTCCAATTCTGAGTTCGATTTCAGCAGGGCAGTTACACTGAAACCGAACGACTCCAATGTTCTCATTGTCATTTCAGCTACTGTCAATCAGCTGTGTGTATGCACTACTAATGTATGTTAACTGGTACGAGTAAGGGAAGAATTATTTTTCTTTTACCTGTTTGACTTGAAGGGAAAACTTGCAGTTGTGCAATCCAGGGCAGCTGATCATTTTACTGAAATTTTTTAGAATTTCATTACATTGTAACAACAACATGGCACAAAAGAGCAGTGAGAATGAAAAACCAGGTACAACCAAGTAAGCTTGTGTCTGATGTACTTCATCGGACTGCCATCCTGCTTCACTAAGGATAAGACTCAATTACTTTCCTAGTCCACACACTTTCACTTGCATGCTTTTCTTTTGCTCATGTCTACATTGCATTTGTATTTGCAAGTCAATATCATTAAACTGTACTTAACTATGCTTCTATTCACCTTGTACACACTTCCATCCAACTTCACCTCCAAAATCCTCATGTAGCTGAAGCAAAATATATGACACTATCCAGAAGAAACCTCTTTTGTAGGAATAGACGACTTACAAACAAAGTTCATTCAGATATTCAACAAACAAAACTTTAATTCTACTCCCATGACTGCCACACAATGTTGCACCAAGGAGTCTTCTATGACTCTGTTTCACCAGCAGTAGTGTAACACACTTTGTTCTTGCAATAAAAAAAGCAGCACTACTATGGATCCTGCAGACTTGTATACAAATTACAGGGAATTTATTGTATTAGCAGTTCACATCTGAATTGTTTCAGATTCAATGACACCTTCGTATGATTACATATACTTTCCAGCTATGTGACTGAGGCAGTTACAAAATGATTGTATGACCGTAATAGCTGCACATTCCTCGTGAAACATCAGAAGACATGAACAATTACATTTGTTACGGTTCTCCCTATCTCTTATTTTTCTATACGTTATTGACCAGTAAAGCTTATTACTAATTTCATTAGCAGTCTTGCAATTTATTTTTTTCTTGAACATTAATACTTTTCTGTGAACAGGAGGAGCAGAAAGTATTCACTGTTTCACTGAAAAAAATGTCCCCAACACAGCTGGCCTCATCTAACAGTGGTTATCCTGTATCATTTGTGAAAGCAACCTTGTGAAAGCAAAGCTAGAAACATTCATGCACCTTTTCAGGGAAGAAGTAAACTACTTCACGTATCCTTTGCAGGAAGTTCATGAGCAATTTATTTAATCAATGAGAATTCCATGGAATCGCTGTACAGTCGACAGTCTAAGACAGTCTTTCTTAACTCTTCTAGCCATTATTTGTGCACATCCTGTTCATCTCCATAGCCCTTCAAACTTGGATGTCCACTGTCCAGCTTTAGAAGAACCTGATCAAAGACTATCCTTCACAGCTTCAATGTTTCCTGTATTTACCATCTCTGACAAACTGCAAACAAACATTTAACCACATTTAATACACAAATTAGCTACAGTTTGAAGAAATAAAATATAAGATTCTACCAGAATTCAAAACATTTTAGATTAATTTATTAAATTGGAATAACTGTGATGGTGGAGATCAGGCTACTCCTCCAAAGCTGCTGTGTGAGACTGCGTTATGGTAAGTATGGAGAGATTTCAGTTCTGCTATGTTTGTTCAGCAAAGAACATCCTGGCAAGTGAAAAACACAAGCACACAATGAAAGATTCATGAAAACAAGACTGGAAGCAGCCAGCTCAGTTTCATACTGCAAATTTTTGGCAGACATTCAGCTCCTTCTGCTGTTTTTCTTGCAAGCACATCTATCTGTGTGATGTCACCAGATTCGGCGAAATAGGGAGGCAGAACAAATTGGACTGACAGTGTCTTCCAGCCTGCCAGCCTCTCAGCACATGTTGTTACTATACAAAGGATGTCTAGAAATCAGACGTGCTCTACAGATTCACAGACCGTACCTCCTCCTAAAGGCAACTAAGGAGAAGTGCCTATGGAAAAAAGCACGTGTGTGTGTGTGTGTGTGTGTAATAATTCTAAAACCTCAGTTTTGGCCAATCCATCTGCTTTGTAGCCATCTTAACTTAGGAAAAGTGAGGTAAGAAACTCCCAGCCACCTCTATGGCCCACATTGCCACAGCAGTCACTGAAAGCAACCTGAATGCACTTTACTTCCTGCAGACATTTCAATACCATCAGAGGCTCACTAGATACTGCCTTTGCCCCATCATCGCACATCTGTTTGCCATAGTCATTGTGGCTGGAATCGAGTAGATGTAAAATTATAGCTAGTGTAAAAGACAGACATACATTCATACCAACTTTTTTTTTTTCCCCACTTTGCTTTTTAAGACATACTGAATATGAGCCCTCCAGAAAGAATCTACCACAAGCAGTATTTACAGAACCATCCCCACAACGGTATATTTGTTTCCTAGCTAGGAATTTATCATCCAGGAGCACCAATAGATTGCTTCTGAAAAATTCATGCTAGGTAATGGTTTTTGGTGTCTATATTTAAACAAGTGAAAAACCATCACTCCTTACTTCAAATAGTCCGTGTTGTTGCAAAGGTCTGTCTCAAATGCTGAAGCTACTGGAAAGAGCAGATGAACCAGAAAAGCCAGAGGGGAAGAACAACCTACACCACATGAAGAAAATTATTTAAAACATGAGGAAACATGTTTCAGTGAGCAGGACATCACAAAGCCTGGATTCCATGCCTTTTGGATCAGTGACTAGGGGAAGAACAATCACTTCAGTTCTATGCCTCTAAAATAAAAACTAATGAATTTTATATTACTAAAGTAATTTTATAAATAATGGCTTTTTTGTTGTATATAGGGAAAACAGCATAATTTGGGAAGTACTGTTCAGTAGTATCAACTTGTGGCAGCAATCATAGAATCATAGAATGGTTAGGGTTGGAAGGGACCTCAAAGATCATCTAGTTCCAAACCCCCTGCCATGGGCAGGGACACCCTCCACTACACCAGGTTGCCCAAAGCCTCATCCAACCTGGCCTTGAACTCTTCCAGGGATGGGGCATCCACAACTTCTCTGGGAAACCTGTTCCAGTGCCTCACCACCCTCAATGTAAAAAATTTCTTCCTTATATCTAATTGAAATCTCCCCTCTTTCAGTTTAAATCCATTGCCCCTCGTCCTTTCACTACACACCCTTGTAAAAAGCCCCTCTCCAGCTTTCCTGTAGGCCCCCTTTAGGTACTGGAAAGCTGGGATAAGATCACCCCGGAGCCTTCTCTTCTCCAGGCTGAACAGCCCCAACTCTCTCAGCCTGTCTTCATAGCAGAGGTGCTCCAGCCCTTGGATCATCTTCGTGGCCCTC